ATAGGTTCATGCTGGGGCACCCGTGGGTGTCGGCCTGTGGGTGCCCCCGGGCTCCCAGCACCCCAGCTCCGCAGTGGGTGCTTCTCTTCCCAGTGCCCGTGCTTCTGGTGGAGGTGGCTGACAGAGGGCCTGCCCACCTGCTTCTGCCAAGCTGCAGGAAGAGCTTTTAAACAAAAAATGGCTTAATTTATGGCTTTCTTTTTTTTAATGGGTCTGTTTAAGTACTGTTTATATTTTGCTAGTCAAGAAATAACAGTTATCCCATTGTGGTTTGCAGAGATTTATTGTGGGTGTGATGAAGTCCTGTATAACTCTAGTTAGTCTGTTTATATTTATGTTTATATTTATGTTTATATCTGTAATAGTTTAAAGAGTAATCTGCAGCTTAAAGCCTAATCTATATGTGTCCGAGGTAGAATAACCTTATAAATGGTCCATTTGTTTGTGGCTAAGTTAAAGAAGATTCCATTTATGATTTTCTGTTTAGGAATTTTTTATAAAATTAGCTTCACTGTAACTAAAGGCAGTAGCTGCAATAAGAAAGTGGTGGTGTTTGCTTTGCCTTCCACTGAATAAAGCAGTTGATGACTTGTAATTCTTTGGTTCACCATCTATTATGTGTCTTCCTATTTGAGTGCCTTGCAGATTCTTATCTCTGCCCTTCAGGGTCATCAGGATGAAAGACTGTGTATGATGGCTTGCATGTGTAGCCCCTCTTTTTGAAGGAGAGCATCAGCATCTCTCAGCTTGAGAGACTGCTCTTCTGCCTTCAGCTTCTCTTGGTAACTTTGCTCAAATCAGCTGAATTTCTAGGGCTCCAGCAATGATCCAGAGTGTCCACGGGTCCTGTTCTCATGAGACTGTCCTGCATGAAACCAGTCGAAGAAATTCTGGAGGCTGCCCTTTTTCTGGCCGGGAGCTGTGGCAAAAACACTTGATGACAGTTGCTTTCTCCTCCACCCCCGCAATAGTTCTGCCAAGAGGATGAGGCTGCCTGGACTCCTGGCTATGACCCATAGCATCATCTTGCTAGCCTACTCTCTGTCTTCAAGAGCTGGTGCAATGGCTTCTCTTTTTAGTCCTTGGTGATAACTAAATTGCTGTTATTATAGCTGGAGTCCTGGTAAGTTGCGTTATTGAGATTTGTGGCTGGAGTCCATGTAGGATTAATTATCAGAGACGCAGTTAGCTAAGGATTTCTGTTTTGCTTATCAGTGTTGGTGAACTGTTACTTCAGTGATTCTTCCAGTGATCAGTTGGTAATTTACAGTTGTCAGTGTTCTGTATTGGGTATGTTTTGTTTGTTTACTTTTATAAGAATTCTGAGCAGCTGACTTCTTAATTTTGACTGGGGGCAGGGGTATTTTAATTCTTCTGGCTTCAGCAGTGTCTAAAATAGGTCTCGTAGCTTGCAGAGTTGAAAAGTGAGTTTGCTTGTCACGTCATTTTTTCTGTCTTTTTCCTTTATTGTCAATTCCTTGCAAGTTTGAATGCAGATCAGAAATAGGACCTTTACTTAATTAAAGCTTCTGAAAGCATGATTTAAGTTGGCTTTGGCAGATGAGTTCCCATTCATCTTTGTCTGCTTCCTTTTGTGTGAGCTGTTCTCAGCTGTCACAAAGATGCTCAGGTGTCTGCTGATGGCGCTTTTAATCTTCTAGTATTGAGCCTTAATCTTTTGCAGGACAGTGGAAGGATAAGGCTGACAGCTGAAGTCTTTGTGTAAACTTGGGGATCGCCACGTGTCTCTACCACCCGCTCTTGATTCCAAATACAAGGGGAAACAGAGGAGGAGGTTGTTGCTTCCTTGAGACATCTACTGTTAGAGCAGGAAGTGCTGAATTACTCTAAATAATTAGAAGGGCAGTCTGGCTTTTGGGAAGTATGAAGAGGTTAGTACAGATAAGAAAGCTTGTTTGAAGCAGTTTCCCAGCCTGGTCTAGCTCAGATGGAGGCAGACTTAGTGCTGTAACGCTGCTGAAGTTCACGACAGGAATACCACACTCTCGAGTGCGAGAAATAAAGTCTATTTTTTAAGATATCTGAGAGCAGGAATACTGGGGCATGCTGGTGGAAAGGAAGTAGGCTCAGGTGGTGAGTGCCTTGGGGGAGCTGAGGAAAGTTTGGTGACCAACAGGAGCAGTGCTAACAATGCTTCTTGGAGGGGGCTGAGCTGACTGTGGCTTTGGGCTAGCAGCAGCGGCAACTCTTGTCATGGCAGACTGTCAGCATCCTTGTCACAGTCATCACCAGACTGTGCTGGGGTTTGTGCAGTGGCTTGTGGTGACCCATTAGCTACCCTGCAGAGCTGGGGAAACTGAGGCAGGCCTCCATCCTGACTGCCTATGTCCACTGCCAGAAGAGAGGGGCTGGCAGCACTTGTGCCATCAGGGAAGAGCTGTGATAGATGACAAATATTGCAACTTATGTACATTGTGCAGGCAAGCAGTGACGAAATCCAGGTCTAGTTCTGTCCTTGCTGTTCCAGCTGATAATCCTAAAGGTTACCTTGATGCTGATGTCAGTACTGCAAATACATGTCATTAGTTCCCCAGTTGTGATATTTGTGCTCTGGGCAATAGTTCATATTTTCTGCTGTCTAGATGATTGGCTAATGAAGGACAAAATGGTGGAAGTGGTCCAAGGATTAGCGCAGAACCATCAGGCAGTGTTTGCCTTTATTTAATTGCTACTGCAAGGAAACTGGCTGGCTGTGCCAGTGAATGGTTCAGAGTAGCTAAAATTGTTGGAGCTGCTCTTCCAGTTCAGGGGTAGGATTTGTTGAGTGTGGCTCTGTGCTTTCCTCTGTAAATGCCTGATTGATGCCTCTAAACTTTTTGAGAACAAAACCTGCTCTTCTCCTGTGGAAGAACAGTGTTTGCTTTTTTTGTTGTCTTTTGATGGGTAAATAGAAGATACTTCATTTCTTTTGTACACTGAGGCTTTCAAACCAATGTTTGCTAACTTAAGCAAGCGTTCATTTAACTTCCTCTAATGTTTGTTGTTTTAGTTGAACTTTTAATCCAAAGTTTGTGCTGGGGTAGAAACCATTGCGAAACTGAAGATCAAGTTTAAAAACAAAATAACCCCCCCCCAAAAAACGCAAACATCATCACCTTCTCCCCGTTTCTTGGGTGTGTGGTGTGTGTGTGTTTTTTTTTTTTGTCAGCTGTAACTAGTAGTATGCATGAAACCTGTACGTGAGAATGCTCTGCCTCATATGATATCAGTATGGTGAGACTGGATGAATATCCCTTTCTCTTATCTTAATGAGTTCAAAATGGGCCTTAAAGGTCATTCAGGATGGTGGTTGAACAAAAGTATTTCTGGTTCCTTTTGTGGAGAAAATAGACTGTTAAAGAATTTTTAAAGGCTATTGTATCTTAAAACAGCTTAACATGTTAATCCTATTTCTTGGCTGATTTTGGCAGTACTTACAGCAGCAAGGTGTTCCGTGTTACCTTTTTGACTTTGGCTGCATCTCTAACTGTGCCCCTGCTTGGAGTAACTGTTCTACTGGATTGTCCTATAGACCCTCAGCCTCTAAGGTAAATTGTTGCTTTGTTTTGAAATAAATGTTATTGAAGCATAACTTCTCTTATGTATTCTGTTGTTTTTTTGTTTGTTTGTTTTTTTTCCAGCAAACGACTCAGCTGTGTTAAAGTGATTCTAAATGGATTAAGAAATTGGGGAGTGATTGCAATATTATCCATTGCCATGGCTTACTTCCCATACCCAGTTTGTTTCTGAGCTATCTTGTGCAGTTGTGTGTCACTATTGATCACTGAAGGAGCTAAATTACTTTCTTTGATCATTAATCTAGACAATGATTTTCTGCTGTCCAAGCTATTAGTGGAGCTTGTGATTACCTATGTGCACTCTTGCCTTCTGTGAGACAAAAACTGCATTTTCACTAAGGACCAAGCTGTACCCCTGTTATTATAGTTCTGTCAAAGAGAGATTGTTTATCTGAGGATGGAAATTGAAATGGATAACCTGAGTGGGTTGATCTGGCACTTTGTACCAGCGCAATCATACGGTGATGCTATATTTAAATGCAGATCTCGTAAAGCAGTGCAGCTAGGTAGTTTCTCCCCCATCTGAATTCATAAACATCTGAATTGAGGTCTGTGTCAAATGTGTAGTGTAACAGTGAATCAAGTACGTGAGATGTGACCTGTGCTGGGAGAAGTTGTGTGAGAAATGCTTTGCCTGCTAGTGTTGGGTGGAGTCAGGCTGTTTAGTGCTCCTGGCATTTTGAAGTAAGTGAAAGTGCTCAGTCTGCTAAATATTTATGATCAACTTGATAATTCCTTAATGAAAAGGAACACCACCACTGTAAATATCTCTAGAGTTGAAAGGAACTGTTAATATGGTAGGGTAGTACTTACAAGTCTTACCAATAGGCTATTAGACATGAGCTGCCTCATTGCAAATCATAATGAAATGCTTTCTGCTGTGGTTGGGTTTAACAAAAACCAATTCCCTGAAATACTTTGCAACTGAACAGTAATTCTGAAAGCCAATAGGATATATCTATAATGCTTTTCCTATTATATAGTCCTGGTCTAATTCTGGTCCAGGGTAACTGTATTCTGCATGCTTGCATTTCTTACTTTAAGTCCCTTTTAGAAGACTGGGAGAACTATTCTTGCTGCCCAAATCACTGGTTTATATTGCTGTACATTTTTAATTAGCTTCTTAGCTTCACTGCCAGAAGTGGTTCCAGTCTGTACAATAGACAGGATGATTCTGTGTGATGTTTATGGAATATTTTGAAAAAGCTCAAGGAGGTAGATGCTGTCTGCGTCAATCCCTTCAGTGAAAGAACATGTAGAAATCTCATTTGCCGATAGTGAAGTTATTCCTGTAAGCCACTGGAAATAATGAGGAATAAGAGGTGGGAGAAAAGAGCAGATGTGATCTGTGAAACTCCACATGAAATTCCTGCAACTCTGGTTTACTTCAAGTTTTTTCTCTATGAGCCTGTCTTGGATAATATTGATCCCAGGGAGGACTTTTTGCTTGCAAACACAACTGTCCAAAGTTCCCAGCAAATGATTTCCTTATCTGAAGCCTGTTATCCTCATCTGAAACTCTCTAATGCTTGGAAGAAGGGATGGAAAATGAACTGGTGTTAGCACTGTGGAGACAACTCTGCTGTAAATCTTCTGCGAACAGGAGCTAGTAATTCAATTGGCTTTGGCACTGCAGTAATACATACTTAAAGGAAAGTTTACTGTCTGTAACTAGACAGATAAAAGTATGTATTTTTCGCTCCTTCTGAATTATTTGTGTTGTGAATCTGTTTTTTTCAATTGCCATAGCTTTTATAGCTTGCAATTTCAGTTGACTTTTTCCCCTCTCAGTCACTGAAGCTGTAGAAATTGTAATGATTTTCACCATATGAGCAGTAGAGTTGCAATGTGGTTGATGACATATAGGTCCTGGATCCTGTGAACCTGGGCAAGTTTTGGAATCAAACCTCATCTTTTTAAGATTCTACAGGTGGAAGACATTTGCTTATGGTCATATAAGGAGTTATTTAAAAAAAAAAATTGAAAAATTCTTTCAAAACTTGGTCTAGGGAGGTGTATCATACTCTTATGAATGAACACCTAATGAGCTTACCACCCTGGGCACGTATGCAGCTTTTAGCAGGAACTTGAAATCCTTAACTCATGGAGACCGAGGTGGCTTACGTGTGATTTTTTAAGAACCTAGGAGACTGAAACATTTGAGTTTGTCAGCACAGTTAAGGCTGATTTTGAAGCACAGCACTTTGGAGCCTGGTATTTGAGTTGAAGCTGTGTAGGCATCTTACTGCTTCCCTTCTCTGTATCTCTGTAGTTGGTTGGAACTCCAGTTGGCTTGAACCTGGCTATTTATGTGAATAAGGGCTTGCAAGATTGGGTCTTATTTTATTTTGAGATTTCAGTTCAATACCCTTTAAGTCTATGTGAAACTTATTCCTTTGAGTTGGTCTTTCTCTATGGGAACGCATTCAAATCATGAACGAGACTATATGTTTCAATATGGTATGAAAGCATCTGTGTCCTAGTGCTCAAACTACTGGAACACTTTTTTCCCTAGTTGTATGCTAGTTAGTAATGAAAAAATACTTTTTCTCTGTGATGAAAATGCTATATGGTGTCAGATCTTGGTGTATTATAAAATGCCAGGCTTTTAAATTGCAAAACCTTTTTGCTTAGGAATTCGCATGTATCTACTTAGGCAAAATATCCTGGTACAAACGACTCATTAAGCTGAGTAGGCAAGCAGTTATTCTTTTGCGTTGTGGCAATGCAGAAATCCTTTGCCTTTGTGCAATACAGATGAACTGGGAACATGTTGTTGGACTTGAAGCTGTACAGATTTCCAGATACGCCTTAGGAACACATAACTGCAACTTTTTTGATCAGCAGAACCAGAAAATTATGATCCTTGATGAACAAGAGTAAATTTTTCAGCTTGTCAGCTGTGTTTTCTTTTCTGAAATATGCTGCATGTAAAGTATAGGTCAGGTTTGCAGGAGATGGCAAACTGGGAAAAAAATGATGCAATATGTTGCTCAAGAATGTTTGCAGATTTGTGAAAACGATCATGAGGTCTGTGTTCTGTTTTGCAGTTTGAAGGAACCTCCCCTCCTGACAGGTGTGTTAGAGCCCAATATTGAGTTACGAAAAGCTGAGCGGTTATGGGAAAATCAGCTGGTCGGACCAGAGTCCATTGTCAATATTGGGGGTAAGCACTGACAAAAGAAGCTTTTAAAGAAGGGTCTTTAAATGTTGCTCCATTGATAAGGGTTTGTTCAGCAATGTAGCTCTTAGATAACAAATTCTGGAAGTTATTTTGAATATGCGGGTTTTTATAAAAATAATTGTGTTATGCAGCAAAACCTGGCTGCTGTATGCTGCTTTTCTCGTCTTTCCCCAGTATAAAATAAATCTTGTTGCCAGATTGAAAATCTCTGTCTTCCAGGACTGAAAGCATCAGCAATGTAGTCAGGGGCTACTTATGTTTGGAAGAAGTGGTCCTATTTTTCACTTGGCTGGCTCTTAACTGGGGATTAATATTTACAGGGTACTACCTAGTCTTTCAATGCTCATTGTTCCTGAGGGAGCCGAGTTCAGTGATGTTAATTTTTGCTTATATGACAGAAAAAAAAATATCTCAAATTCATAAATAGCATATCTACATTTTAGCACTGCTACATGTGTTACAGGTACCATCCTATACTTCTCTCTCATGGCATGTGTGTTCTCCCCAAATCACAAACCCATGCCACCTCTGAGCAGTTTCTTAATGAGGTGGCTGGACTTGTAATGGCATGACTTCTATTTGGTAGGAAAACAGCTTTGTGCAGGGGTTGTTCCCTGCAGGAACTGTGCCTCCTGAAGGGGGTTAAGGCTACAAACTACTCTTGATATGAGTCCTTGACCGTTTTAATATGAAAAGGAAAGGGCGTGGGAGTTGCAAGCAAGGACCTCACCGAAACATCCTTCAGTACAAGAGGTGCTCAGTAGCCATGTAATTTATTTTCCTTCTGCTATGTCTTCTAATAAATGAGTAAAATCTTTTTTTAAATTCTTTTACTGAGCAAGAAACTACTGTAAATTCCTTCCTCAGATTTTGCTTTTTCTAGCTAACTGTTAACAATATGCTAAAGTGATTACCAGAAGCTACTGATTCTTTTCTGTTACCTAGTTTTGTTAATCTCATTGGAACCTCTTTAAGGAAACATTCCTGCAAGGGACAGCTGACCTATGGGTCAAATAATCAGTCTGACTAGGAATAAGTTTTGTATGAATAAATGTTGAAGTCTCATTATTCCCTTTTGAAAGTGTAATTAGCAAACTTAAAACTTTAGATAAACTAGAGATGGAAAAGTCTAAGCAATGGGCTCCACTAATCCAATGGTCTTTCATTTAATTTGGCTGTATGGAAAAATTTGTGTGTGGTTTGTATTCAGTGAATCTGTCTTATGCTGTCACATGGCTTGGCACGGATATAGTAATTTGGAAATGCTTTTGATTTGGGTGGTCGTTCAATTGCTGTGATTTTTGTAACTTTTCTCCAGAACTGATACAATATGAACATTGGCAGGTGTATAGCAGCCTATGTGGACTGTATCAGAATGAGAAGTATTATCTAGTCAGTCTCTCATTGAAGAGTGGTAAGATGGATGCAGTGCCTGATCACATTTTATGATGATGTAGAAATTTGCATAGACGGATCAATCCAGTGACTAGCCATTAAGTTGTTACATCCAAATTTAACCAAGGATTTTAGGTGAAAAGCTTCATATCCCATATTCGTAACTCCTAAGACTTAAATCCTTCCTCTTCTTTTTGAGTTGGAAGAAATCTAACCAAATACTGTTATTTGCCTTCATCTTTCCCCTTCCCTTTTCATTCTTTTGCTATGACTGAAAAAAACCATTACTTCACTATACCTTGAACAGGAATTCTACTTCCTGCTGGTAGAAGGATCATGTAGAAGGATGTTTGCCACTACAGTTTTGCGATCGAGCTAATCACACTAGTTGTTTTTGCAGATGTGCTGTTTACTGGGACAGCTGATGGGAAGATTATCAAAATTGAAGATGGGGAAATACAAACAATAGCCAGAATTGGCCGTGGTCCTTGTGGTGAGTGACAGCTGCTGAACATAGTGTACCTGAAAATGTCTGCCTCAGGGCTTGCGTGGATTGAACTGGTGTTCTGTCTGGGTTGCTCATGCAAGTGCATATCTTCCTCTGTAGAGATTTGTAACAGAAATATTAATGTATTTGTATGAATGAAGTATGAGTGGAAATATGTATATAAGCACTGGAAGGAACAGCAGAACAAAGGGGCAAAAGAATGGGAATGAATGCCCTTGATAACAAAGGACACTATTTCAAGGAGTAAAATTTGGAAACGTGTGTTTTTATGTCATGACTACAAGGTCTGCACTCTTGTAAGGCTGCGGCATGGATGACTTGTCAGTAGAAGATCCTGCATCTTAACGCTGGGAGGAAGATGAGGTTGAAGTGCATCACAAATAACATTCCTTTTCCTGTTAGTCCATCTAGAAAAAGCACATATCCTAAACAAGAAAAAAAATGGGCAGCAACCTGGCCTAATATTTATGGAAGCTGAAGTCAGCAAGATTCTGAGGTGAAGGGCCACCCCGTAAAAACTGAGGACTCCTAAACAAGTGTGAGTGAATGAACTCTGAAGATAATGTGTGAGTGGGAAAGATCAACTTATTTAGAGATGTTTGAAAATAAATATCACCATTCCCATCTACAGAATTTTGCCTTCCATTTTGTTGTACTAATTTCCCTTCATCTGTTTGTAAGTATAGTGTTGCGGTGGCTGCATCTACTTTAGCAGAGATCTTCCATTGGTCATGATAATTCTGTTTTCTCACTGCTAAATTGCAGTTATTTCTTGTTGAATTCCACACCTCTTTCTGAACTACTTATTTGCTTCATTTAATGAGATTTCTGGAACGGAGTGAGGAAAAACTAGTAGTGACTTGTTTATTAACAGCAACATTTCTATGGGGAATCTTAACGTTGGCCATCTCAGTACTGCCTGGGCAGTCTGAGAAGCCTGGTTGGTGTTGGGACTGTGGATGGTTTTGTTTGCGGTAACGATGTTAGAAGCTTGCCTGAGGTTCTGCAGCCCTGTGCCAGTTGCCAGTTAGATGGAAGTTACGGGCAGAAACTGTTGCTGTCTCTATGTAGCTCACATTGACAGGCTCATCATTTTAGCTATGTAATTTTATGTGGATGCTCATGTGATTAGGCTCTGGATTGATTTGGAAGCACTCTCTTGGCTGCCTAACAGGTAGGACAGCCGCAGTGCTGACAGTCCATGAAGTCTGCTGCCAGCTGATGGGAAGCTGGACTTCCAGCTGATGGGAAGCTGGACTTCCAGCTGCTGCTTAGGGGTGGATGTGGGTTGGGATGGATATGAAGAATTACCTTTCCACTGGTCATTTCCATTGGACTTGTACAGCTTGGGAGAGGTGGGAAGATTATGCTGCCCTATTTCTTTGGGGCCAAAGAGGTACTGGGGAGCCTAGCCTTCTGTCTTGCCCTCCTTGAGCTGGGAAGCGAAGTGTAGCTGACTACCTTCTCCGGAAGTTTTTCTTGCTGATCTTTCAAACTACAGATGTTCTGAAGTTCTTAGTTCTTCAGGACTCAAGTAGACAAGTTCTTCAGGTTTGCAGTATTCCCCTTCCTCCTCATGTAGAAGTCTTCATTGTCTGTGTCTTGAGAAATTGGCAGTTTCATGACAGCATTAGACCTTTCCAGAAAAAGAAAGTTCCAAGATGTGCGTGTATTTATTTTTCTTTTAAAGAGAAAAGAAAAAGAAACTCATAATAAAACTGATTCTTTCTGAGAAGAAGCATTTAGTTAAATCCAGTTTTCTGAGATTCAGCTCTACTCGGGGCAGCTGTTAGCTAGCTACCAGCCTGGCAAATTATATGATTATCTCTAGACTGGTGAAAACATGGGGATATCTATTTCACTTACACCTAGGAAAGTCAGAACCATTTCTTTAATGAATGTGTGTGGTGCTGGCCGTAGAGTTTTGTTAAGCTACAGTTTGACCTAGTGATTTAGTAGCCTCAGTGCCTTGTTTTTATTTCTATTTGGAAAACCACTTTAAAATTGCTTCCTAAGGAACCCGTGAAGATGAGCCAACGTGTGGAAGACCACTTGGCATCAGAGTGGGGCCAAATAACACCCTTTTTGTGGCAGATGCTTATTATGGACTCTATGAAGTTAATCCCGGTACAGGTATGACTTTTCTGCTCAGAAGTTCTCTTCCACTGACAAATCTGGGCTTTGTTTGCAGTTTTGTCAGACACTGCAGGCAAAGCAATGCCTGCCTTCTTTGTAAAGTGGTTTGGAGCTGTCTGGATGAAATATAAATATCAAGTTCTTGCATGGCATTTTCTTGTAGCAAGCACTTCCTCTCTGTATCTGTCTGTCTGGATCAGAGTTACCAGTGGCTTATCTTCTGACAACATATGCTTTTGGTTGTCAAAATTGGTACTTCAGGATCCATGAATAAAGCTGTGTATAGCTGTTTCAGTTTTCATAAAGGGGGAAAAAAATACTACTGTTACATAAACTTTTTGTCATGTTTGCTGTACTTTGTTTCTGCCTTCATCTCGCTGTGTGGTAGTGAAGAGCTCATAACTTCCCTGTAACCACAGTCTATAGAAAGTAAAGAAAGTTGTATTTTGGTGCGGCTGAAGATTAAGTGGCTTGTTAAGAAAGGCACTGTTGCATCGTGCCCTTTGTTTTGCGTCCCCAAGCCAGATCTCAGTTTTAGGAGCTGTGCTGTCCGAAAGCAGTATTTGCTTTTGTGTAGGGCTGATTTTCTGACAGTTTATGTCTCCAAATTGGCTTCAGGTGGGGAGAGGGAGGCTAACCAAATGCTAAGCGAGATGTAACCAAAGGGCTGAGACTGTGTGACACTGGGAGGATATGGTCAAGGTCTCCCCCTTTGATGGCAGACAGCTGCCATATTAGCTCAGTCATGACAAACAAACCAAGCAAACAAACCAACCTAAACCCCATGCCCAAAGATGACTTCAATTGATTTTGGTTAATTTTTAGAGATTTGACCTTAATAATTTGCTTGGTAATATGTGGCAGAGCAGTTTAGTGAACCTGCTGATGTTTTAATGTTTGGAAAGTACCACTCTTTGTTCCTACAGATTTATGGGGAAAGAGGGAGTGGTGGTTGGCTTGCCTGCATCCTTCTGCAAGGTTGAGACCTGAGTTTGCACTTGATTTCATATGAACTTCAGAAACGTGAAAAGTCTGACACTTAACAGTAGGGAACATCATCTGCTGTTTCAGTTTTTCTGAAGAGTATTTTCTCCTGCTCATTCACATTTGGTGTTGAGTTGTTCCATTACAACCCAAAACCTTACTAGTTAACAGAGGCACGAATGGAAAATATGAGAAGTGCCTGCTAATTTCATGTTAATATTTAACTCATTTCCAAGGCAGGTCATACAAGAGCTTTTCTTGTGGTAATTTTTCTTTTTTTTTTTTCTTCTTTTTGTAACCAGGTGAAACGAAAATGCTTGTGTCAACCAAAACACTAATTGAAGGTCAGAAGTTGTCATTTGTGAATGATCTTACAGTGACCCGGGATGGGAGGAAAATCTACTTCACTGACTCCAGTAGCAAATGGCAAAGACGAGACTACTTATTCTTGATTATGGAAGGCACAGATGATGGGCGGCAAGTATCTCTTCCCCAAGGCATTTAACTTATTGTAAGCTCAGCAATAGGAATGGACTTCACCACTTCCTTGGTCTTTAAGTTTTTATAAACCACCTGTGCGAATGCTGCGCTGCTCAGGAGAGGGTGAGAGAATGTGTGGATGTTGCTAATGAGACCTGCAGCGAAATAAAGGAGATTCCTCTTTCTCCTTCAAGAGAGGGGAACATCTCCTCCTGCAGGGAACATCTTATTTTAAAAGGGAAGGTGTGAGCATTACATTGAACCTACATCCTTCATTAATGCTGCCAATCTCAGGTGGCTTAGTATTTCTCCTGTGTTCATAAACAAATGCTTCCTGGCTATTCTACCTTTTTAATTTAGGTGAAGTGAGTGCCAGAGAAGACAGAATGCCTGGAGATTGAAACCAAGATGAATAAATATTTGTCTTCACTTAAACCCATATATAATGCTTTCTTTGTAGCCTCCTTGAATATGACAGAGTAACAAAAGAAGTGAAAGTCTTAATGATGGGGCTGAGGTTTCCTAATGGTGTCCAGCTCTCTCCTGCGGAAGACTTTGTCCTGGTACAGGAGACAACCATGGCTAGAATCAGGAGGTGAGTATGAATTTGCTGAAATTATTACTAGTCTCTCTTTAGAGATTGTTTAAATAAATGAGTTGAATGACAAAAGAAACCCTACAGTATTCATGCCTAACTATCAATGGCAAAGAAGGTGGCCTTCCTCAATACTTAATTTTTTTCTTCGACTGTAAATGGCTGGACTGCATAATCTTTCCACTGTGAGCTCCTTGAGCATAGTGGAGTAACCTGACTTTTTCTGGGGAGAGCAACGTAGCTTTGTGTTCCCTGTACCAAAACAAGGGGAAGAAAAAATATTTTTGTTTTTTTAAGTTAATTCCTTTTGGGGCTTTTATTTATTACTTAGACTGCTTGAGTTAAGATGTCCTAATCCTACTGTCTATAACTTTCAGGTATTATGTATCTGGGCTGATGAAAGGTGGAGCAGATATGTTTGTTGAGAATATGCCTGGTCTTCCAGATAATATCAGGTTAAGCAGCTCTGGAGGATATTGGGTAGCTATGTCAGCTGTCCGGCCCAATCCTGGATTTTCTTTGTTGGATTTCTTGTCTGAAAAACCATGGATTAAAAGGATGATATTTAAGGTAAAAAAAAAAAAAAAAAAATTAAACAAAAATCACCTTTAATATAGCAATGGAAGTGATAAATATTTGTTTGTCCTGCTTCTTCCTCTTCACAGGAAGATTTTTTTTTTAGATTCTTTTTTTTTTAGTGCCGTAGTTAAAACTGTTGTGGTTGTCCCCAGGTAGAACAGTCCTTATATTTTCATAGGTAGTAAAACTAACATTTGCTTCTCTGAGTAGCAGGTACACATCTCTTAAGTTGCCTTCCATCTTGATCTCGGGAAAGAAAAAGAGACTATCTCTGCCCTAGCCGTGCAGCAACACAGCATCTGCATTTGGATATGTGAAGACTTCACCTTTGTACCTGAAGTGCCTAAACTACTTATTGCCGGGTGTCTGGAGAGCATTTGGGAAGGCTGACCTGTTCTAATGACTACCCTAGGCATCCTAGGAGACAGTGTGTATGTTATATATGGTGCTAGGTGATACTTTGTTCTGACTCAATATGCCTGTTGTTCCGTCACACCCCCACCTTTGGGATGAGGATGAGCAAGAATAAATGTATTTTGTAAGGGATATCTGATGCTAAAGAAACAGCATAGTGCTTTTTAAACAATCCAAAGACTTGAAAAGACTTCTGTTCTCAAAAAAAAATAAATATCTAAACAATCAACAAGCAGTGTTTAGGATGGAAGTGCAATTCAGCTAAACTCTGTGCTGTCCCTGTAAAACCTGTTGTCTCTCCTGGTGTGGTGCAGGAGCATTAACAAACTGGTGCTGTGGGGAGCAGAGCGTGGTGTCTGCTGCTTGGCATCAACTGCACCAGAACAAGCTGATGTCTCCTGCATGGACATCCTTTCAGCCTTATGCTGGAGTAGAGTATGCTTCTGCAGGTCTTTTTTTTTTTTTTTCTTTTTTTTCCCCCAGATGTTAATGTGTTAAGCCTGTGTAATAGTGTTTACTCAAAATGTGTGCTTATGTTCTTAGCTGCTTCTTCCAAGGAGTGTGGAATGGTCTTTGACTGTGTAAGTGTCTGAGATCTAATGGTGGAGAACAAAATTTTTTTGTTAATTTTCTTTTTTTCTTTTCTTTTTCTTTTAGTTGCTGAGTCAGGAAACCGTGATGAAGTTTGTGCCCAAATATAGCCTTGTTGTTGAACTTAGTGAGACAGGATCCTACAGAAGAAGCTTTCACGATCCCAATGGAGTAACGGTAGCTTATGTTAGCGAGGCACATGAGCACAATGGATATCTTTACCTGGGCTCCTTCCGGTCTCCATTTATTTGCAGACTTAATCTTCAGCATGTTTAACTGTCCATCCATGATGAAGTGCCACTGTCCTGTAATACTCCAGAGGTATAAAGGAAGTATGTTCTTGAGGCAGTGTGTGACCATGGACAAAAAGTGAAAGACAGTCTGTTAATGTGCAGTAGCACTATTCTGTTGCTATAGTGGAACGTACAGCTTGCTGTACGGTCGTCTTCCTTGGTTTGACTGCTCTTGCTTTGGAGTTGGCATGCATAATTTTTAATATCTGAGGAGTATGGTGGGGCATCTTCCTACAGTTACGTGCTCCTTAAAGAAAACCCATTGCTTTTCCATGCCCAGCCCTGTTTGGAGTCATCTTTAACAGACGTCATCTGTTGTTTTTAATGCAACTGTATGTCTTCTTACACTGGAAGGATTTGTGATGTATGGAATTTAATTGTGTATGATTTGGATTGAAGAGGATGTCTTGCATGTGTTTATTTCTGTGTTAGAATCTCCTGTTGAGGAGTGATTACAGTGCATGTTCTAATGTCATACCATGGTGCTGTGGTAGAGGCAGCAACATCCAGAACATGCCTAGAAATCTAGTTACACCATTTGGATTTCTTCAGTTCCATCCTGTGTAATCAACAGCAGACACTACAATTAACTGTTAATCAACATGCAGAATCAAATTTGATCGTTATCTGTGGACTCCTGTGTTTCTTTATTGCATTGTAGTCAGATGATGAATGAAAGTTGCGTTTTCTATGTTATTAAAGACTAGCTCCAGTGGGTTTAAAAAGGATCACTTGTAGTATTTCTTCTGTGTTTACCAGGTCCTGTAAGTCTCCTGTTCATTATGTAAGTGGCCATTCCTGAGAGACGTGGGAGGGAGGAGGGCCAGCTGCAGGAATCCTGTTTAGCATGCTTTTTGTGGAGAACTGGTAAAGATTTTGGGGAAGGCTGGTGTCGGAAGGTGGATGTGGACTGAAAGGGCCCCTGTAAAATCTAGTAATAGTGGATGAGAGAGCCTTTGGTGGAAAATCGTAGAATGCAGTAGTAGCTCATGGATGCTTTCTGGCATCTCCAGAGGGAATGGTTTACTTCCTCTGTTAACAGATACTCTGCTTGGTAAATCCAGAGAATGCGTTTCTGTCAAGTACTACAAAGGAAAAGCTGTGCTCTTACATTTTTAAATAAGAGGGTTTCCATCTTGAACTAAAGGGGTTACTTCAGCAGCTGTGTGATTTAGTGGATTGATTCATGCTTTGGGATTGAAGACTTTGCTGCTCTCTCTTTTTCTGCCACTGGGTGATAGTCAAACATAAACTTACGCTGTTGCTCGATTTCCTCACCTTTGAAAGGGAATAATCAAGATTTGCTTGATATATGATGCAAAGCACCAGAGTAGGGGAAGATGTTGTTAAAAATGTCGTCTCTTTTCACTGGTCTTCTGCGCTTGTCTCTATTTAATGGAGGGATATGCAAATGAAAGTGATTTTTTTTTTTTTTTTTTTTTCTCTTCCCCCCTGTCAGTGCTTCAGTCACCTAGTTCTATGTTACTACCAGGCTGCAGCAGTCTTGTGGCAAGTAGCTGACGGTTGTTGGATCAGACTGACTTGTTCCTGTACTGGCCAGGGGTTGCAAACCCTTTTGCTTGACCTGATGGTTACTGGATTTGGGAGGGAGCTCAGTAAGATGCAAAAGAAGCCTAATAGATGAGTTGCTGCAGCTCTGACCTCTGCTGTTTTGGGCATGCCAAATGTGATGGCTTTTGTGTGACTAATTCCCATTTAAGATGCTGTCCCTGAAATTATGAAGTGGGAAAGAAAATAAGTTATAGTACTGCTGATGCTCAAGAGGGATAAGATGTATGACGAGTTGTCTCTTTGGAGCTTTTTGGTTCTGATCCTTTTTCTACTCTTACACCCCCTCACTGCTTCCTGGATGCTGTTGGAGACTAAGTTAGTACACTGATGCTCCAGTGGTCCCACCAAAAAGTTCTTGAGTCTTCTCTAGTTCTCTCTGAGCTCTGTAGCAAGTACAGCAGACCCAGAGGTCATGTGAATAATTTGTTTTTCTTGGGAAAGGGAAAAGAGAATGCCAAATATGAGAGGTATCAATCAGAGTGTGGCTTTGTCTGCTGTGACTTTTGAGCAGTCTAGTCCAAACTGTCAGACAGTGGCCAGGCATAAGTATCTTGGGGCAGGTGCAAGAAGACTAGAAATGGTTAATCATGGCAGAACTGAAGCCCAGAAGCAGCTTTCCCTAACCTGAAGGTAGCTAATGCCCTTATTCACTGGGGCTGTTGCCTTCTGAGGTCTTCTCTTTATCCTGTGGCAGCAGAGAGGGTTGTTCTGCCAAGCATCACAGTCAGGAAAGGAGGCTGGACACCATGAAGAAATTGGAGCTGTCTCTACAAGAGTCTTCCAATGGGGAGAACTTTCATTTGCCTATGAAATCCAGCAGGTCAGTGGTGAAGGCTACTGCCGTAGCACGGAGGAAGCTGAGCTGATGCCTTGGGCACTTGCGTTCTGTCTTGGCCCTGGCATCTCATGGGAGTTCAGTCAATACTTCTCCTTTCTGGCTGGTGGTGCAGGTTCTTTGCTGGCCAGACCTCTCCAGCTGTGCAGAGTCAGTCTCTAGCTACAGCTGCATTAGAAATAACTGCAGGCAGACAAAAGGCAGGCTCTGCACTGAGGGCAGGGGGTAAATTCTGGGAGTAGGGTTCAGAGGCAAGCAGGAATTTGGGCCCATAAAAGTCTTTATAGTTTCTGATGTCTTGCCCTGCCTGTCGTTGTGTCCATGCTGGGCACTAGAAATTTTTCATTGTCTTTGTCTGTGTGCTTCATTGAAAAGTAGCTGAATAGCTGTCAGTCTAAATGAGTTTGTCTAAAGGTTAAGCCTTTGGACAGATTGTACAGTTCTTCTCAACTTAATTTCTCAAAATGAATAAAGCATGTCTGTCCAGCCTCTACAAATAGAGAGGGCTCACCAGGCAGACGCCCAGTTGGACAGCCATTCTCTTAAAAACAAAAAAAAGACCGCTGATGTCTGTAAAGCACCAAATGTAAACTGTGGTTAGGTGGCACAACTTAATATCATTCTAAGCAACAAAACTTTGCATGGTGACAGGCTGCTTAACCAGGCCATTGGTATTTCATATGTCATAAGAACCTTAACATTTCATTTTAGCTAAAGCTTTATAGACATAAACATGGGTCAGTCTTTTCCTCTGAGGTGATCTGGCTGTCTCCTGTGTTTTGATAGTGACCTGAACCTTGTCTGCAAGGTTTTCTAGGGCTGTGCTTGGCCCTGCAAGGTAGAGCTCAATCTGAAACCGAGTGGGATGGTGGCATGTGAGGCACCAAGGTCTAGGAGAAAGTCAGTATGCTTGACACTTCCTGGTGAGAGAGATGTCTGGCCCTAAACTGCCGATGCTTCGATGGCCACTAAAATTGAAAGGAGGCCAATTACTGTCATAATGGCTGCAACATTGGTGGGGGACCAGGGTAGAACTGCAGTATCAGGTAGAAGTGTCATTGTGCGGTTTAAAGATTTTATGCCGTGTATCTGAATGCAGGGTCTGCAGACCTCCACTCCAAGGAGACCCAAAGTCTGCAGAGGCTGAAGGGAGTGCCTTTTCTGAGCTCAGATGGTGTTGGCTCCCATTCCTGGTGCTGTGCTGGATCCTGATAGTCCATCCTTTGTATGCAGAAGTGTTGTAGAACCAAGATGAAACCGGTTGACTGACACACAGCCCTTTCATTACTCAGCATAAGGTGTGCTTAAGAACAGTATTTTCGTAGAAGCTCAGGTGCTTTTAATCCCTGATGGTTCCTCAAATGCAATCCTCCCAGAGTAATGCAGCAACATTAAAATGCCTGTGGAACGAACAAACTGGCATAAACTCCTCTTGGTGCTCGTGCGAAGACTGCTTTTACGGACTTGTTCCACTTCCACAGAAGTGTGAATCAATGGCATTTTGCAGTTTAAGATGGATGGTGACACATCTGCCTTGAGCAACGGGGGAAGCTGGAGCTAGTCTGACTTGGAAAAAAACAGCTATATCTTCTCTCTTGGTGGTATCAGCGCAGGAACATGACACCTTTGCAGCTCTGAGGCTGGCTCTTCTCTAGTGTGGATGCCTTGCCCCACTGGAAGAAGCAGGAGCATTTCTAACAGTATCCAAAGATCTTGTCAGGGCAAGATTGTTTTTTGGTATGAACTGGAGTATACCACAGCTGTGCATTTTAAGGATATGTTTTGTTTTACCTTGGTGGTGGAGCAGATGTTTCTGCAGGGCACAAGTATCAAGAAGATTTTGCTGAAGCTATTTAAAATGTTATTCCACAGCTAACTGCCCTGTCCCTCTTCTGGAGCAAACTTCTCCTATAGTAGAGCTGCTGGAAGGTAACTCATGTATGCCCCTGACACTTTTATGCAAAAGTTGGTATCTCTGTGTGAACAGCTGATGAAAGTGATTGCAAAGCCTTGGTGTAAATCTGATTCCTTTAAATCTGAGTCTGCTTTGTGGTGGTAACCTTTACAGATGAGATAATGACCTCCTAAGCTGCTGGGTCTGTCTGCTCAGTAGTCACAGCAGAGATGTGGTGATGCTGACACTTGGACCTTGTCATCTAGTTTCCTTAGAAAACAGAGCGCTGTAAAAGAATGAACACATGGGGCAGCTCATTTTTGCTGCTTTGTTTGAGGTAGGGACTGAAAAATTAGAGGTTGTCATTAGCTATATACAAGTTCTTTTCCTCCCAGCCAGCCAAAGTCATGTTTCCTTATCTAGCTGCTGTCACCTAAACCTTGTCTTGGTTCTGTGCAGCTGCATGCATGATTCCCCCCGCTGTCAGTGGGTCCTGGCAGTCAGACAAGCTGTGAAATCAGGTACAACTGGTACAGAAAGGCCTTCCAGGTCCTTAACAAGGAGCTACTGAATTGAAGAGAATGCGAAGTGGGAAGTCTGTCCATCAGCAATGCTTTATATTTTGGTGGCAGGCAGTTTGTTTCCTATGCAATTTAAGAAGTGAGAGTGTGAGAGGAAATATTTGCATAGCAAAGCTTTTGAGCAAATGTAGATCTCCATCTGAGGAACGCTGGGCACTGTGAAGCTCAGGCGAAACTTGGGCTAGCTTGGTTTGAGTAGCACTATATGTGTGGAGGTCTCCTGTGTGGCCAGTCCCTCCGTGTGACAAACTTGTTAGGGAACTCTTGTTTAGATGGGGCTAAGTATCCTCGTAAGCAGATGAGCCAAGAAAGTCTATCATGCACCAAGCCCTGTCCTTCCAGCGTGCTGGAGGGAGATCTGAAGCTGAAGGAAGCTGCTTCTTCAGCTTGCTTGTAGCTCTGCTGCATGAACCCATACTGCTGAAGGTTGTCCCAGAAACTCTTAATGTCACTGCTGGGATTGTTCCTTTTTCAACAGCATCTGGAGCTGGCAGGAACAACTTTCTCTTCTTTCCTTATGCCTGAAATCTTTACTAGAAATATTTATTTTTATTTGATTGCTTCTGTAGCCCAGAATAGATGTCAGGGCCTCAGCAAGCTCTGCAAGGATATGAACTCTCTGGAGCGAATTGGTGAATAGTTAACCTTGTTGTGAATTCTAGCAAAGATGCAGAAGGCAGAGACATTGGCTTTTTGACTGCTGCTCATCATTGTGATGAAATGGTACTTAGCTGCAGTTCTTTAGGTCAGTGCTAGCAGTGTCCTCCTGATGCAAGACTCTTTTTTTAATTGCCCAAATCCTTCCTGAGCAAAATGCTCTGGAGTGGTACAAAGAGCTCAGTTGACTTTAGCTCTGCTCCTTTCTTTGGTGCTCACGATAACTCTGTTATCTACCTGGGGGGACGATGGATGCTGCTGTTCCAATGTGCCTTTCTTATGGTAGTGTTACAGTAAATACTTTGCTGCAGCTGTAAACGTAAGGCTAATCTGTCTTTCTCAGAAGCTGCTTGTCTCCTTTCCCACTGTGTTGGTTGCACTGAGCTCATCTGTGTTGCAGTAAATGGTGGCAACAGTTCTATGTAAAACGTGCTTCCAAACAAGCCTGTTTGAATAGAGAGATTCGAACGATCTTGCTGCATTTTCCTTGAGAGAGCAGCAAGAGCATGTTGGGTTTGTCGGCCTGCGTGATGCCATCTTCACCTGGCTTTAACTTTTGTTTCTTTGACAAATGGGGAATTGACTCACTGAGAAACTGAGATGAAGCCCTTTATGCCAGGGGCTTGAAGGGTCATACATGGGAGAGGGTTCGGTGGTGGGCTTACTGCCTGCATGAATCTCTGCACAGACCTAAGCAGATTGTGAGCTGCCTTCTTGCTTCCAGAGGGGCGCATGGAAAGGCTGATGACATCTGTTACTGAGCCCCAGGCTGTCACACTGGCTGAAGGAAGAAACGTAGATCTGTCTGGCCTGTTCTGGGCACAGGCTCTCTGGAGCCAACAGCCTGGTTGGAAGCCCTTGGCATTGTGTGAAGCACCCAACTGAAGTGGAAGAGGGACTGAGACCGTTGCTAACCCCTTTGAGATTCAGAGAGCGGCTCTTCTTGCCATCTTACAAACCTAGCCATGGCTTGGCTTTCCTGCTGTGTGGACAACTTGAGCCGCCATAGTTGGCTTTCTTTTTCCTTGTCTTTGGCATCAGGCTGTCAATGGTGGCTTGTGTGATGGATGAATGTAGCACCATGCTACATCCATCCATGGCCCTTCTGGAGGTTTCTTTTGAGCATTTCTTGTTTTCCAGCTAAGACAGTGATGGCCCCAAAGATAAGATGCAGCACAGCTGCCTCTCCAGCACTGGGTACTGAATTTGAGCTGCTGCTGGGCCACCTGCTCATCACAAGTGGTGTTTGTGAAGCAGAACTTGAGATTTGCCCAGCCTACAAAGGTTTACTTTGGGATTACTTGGAGCAGAGACCTCAGCTATGCTGTGAATAGATCCATCTGTCTTAAGATCCATGGATCTTGGCCTGGAGCCCTCACTGACCTTTCTTGACTGAATGGTTGTTATAAAGGGTGAAAGTGGGGGTGCCACCGCCAATGGGAGTTACAGTGTTGCTGCAGAGAGGCAACAGATATGAGAAGAAAAGGGGTGTTTGTGGAAGGAAAATGTTCATCACAGCTTAGGTCAGGGCCCTATCCATTTGTAAGTGCTGGTTTGTGTACGACTGAATATGGGCCCAGACTATTGCTGTTTTAAGGAGCGGTTACGCAAATCCTTCCGAATAAGGGCCTTAGTCCAGTGTAAGCAATAATCTGCCTATGCATGAAGAGCGAGGGCTAAAGGAATGGTAGATGCCCGCCTAGAGAAGACCATCATTCTGCTAAGCTTGAATATAAGCTGTAGTCAGCCAGAGATGGAATGTCTTGTATTAACCTGAATGAAACTCCATTGTTTAACCTCAGCAAAAATACGCTTTGGGAATACACTTGGATTTATTCGTCTTGGCATTTGCAAGGCTGCCCTTTCATAGTATAGATTAGTTTTTGACTAAAGTGGAAGCACTAGTCAGACTGTGTCATTTCTGGGCTGTGGGTGTGCTTCAAGACAGCCTTATCCGTACTCTTGTCTTAAAGAGAGAACAACTCTGCCTCACGTGTTCCTGACAGATATGTCTAACCTTTTCTCTAGCACTGGAGACTCTTAAGGCTTTTTTCTTTTTTTGGTGTATCTGTGTATCTCCAGGCAAACTATCCCATTGTTGTAAAGCTTTCCTCAGTGTTGTAGTCACATGTGCTGTGGTTTAGACTTATTTACATCATAGCTGCCTGAAGATTCATCACAGAATAAAGCAAGTCCAACAGAGCTTCCTGAGTGTGTTCACACTGCTTGGAAATCCAGCCAGAGCGTGGATAGCTCTCTACTGAATGAAGGACAACATGCTCTCATCTGCAGTTTAGTTTTGGAAAAACAGATACACAACTGGATAGTAATAAATTCAGTCAAGGCAGGTCTTGTCTTTGTCATTTCTCAGCATCTTTCTCAGGGAGGAAAAACAACCCTGTGCTTTGAGACAAAAGCTCTGTGGTGATTCTGTACAGCCGTTCCCCACTTCAGTTTTAGCCTCAACAGTCCAGGCAAGGAAAAACTCATGGTGGTAGATCCCCTGGAATTCAGGCTCTCATGGGGAAAGGTGAGTCAGTGACAGAGAGCAACGGGGACATATGCTTTGTGTAACCAAGGTGTTATCCAGACCTCAAAATAGCATCTCAGCATCTGCAAATAAAAGGGGGGAAACGGTGACAAAGTTCAGGTGGCTGCTGGTTGGTCTTAGCATTGTGGGCCATGATGGGGCAGGAGAGAACAGCATCTTTTTGTCTGCCCCCTTTATCCTAGGAAAAGTACTGTTTGCTAAGTAATCATATCTAAGTGGGAACACCTGTGTAAGGATTTCCCCCTCCCAGGAAATACCTCTAGCACCTACAGCTAGAGGTGGCCAAGAATCACCTGCAGTTACTGGGTACCCCAAAAGGAACTGGACACATACCTGTTGAAGTTTTTTTTTCCTCTGGAAGTGACAGTTGTCCAGGCTGGAGTGCTCCCTCTTCTCACACACAGTGCGTCCAATTTCCACGTGGAGCATGTATTTCAGCCCTCTGACAATCTAGAGAAAATAGTTTCCCCCTTTAAATTAAGGGCACGGGAAAGGGATGCCAAAATTTTGGCTAGGAATCAAGTGCTACTTCTGTGAATTGTGTGTACTGGTGTGGATTTAAGTGTTTTGTGTTGAATTACTGGGGAGGCGGGGGGCAGAGCTCTCCTGTGAAGCAGTTGGAGGGGATAGAGGGACATGTGCTGTTGATTTTTGGGCATGCAGAGCCATCCTAATGACGATCACAGTTACCATATCTCCAGTTTTCTGCAGGAGGGTCAACTGGTAAATGGTTTGGAGGACCACCAGAAGTCTGGGTTCTTCTTACCTGTACCATGGCTTTGTTTATTTGCGATTCCTTAAACAGAAAGAGGTCATTGGAACTGTTGTTGTATCTGTAAACCCCAAAGCGAGCTGCCTTGCGAACACCAGGGTTGTCGGTGTTCATCGGGACAGGGAAGCCAGGTTTCATGGTCGAATGAGGCGGTGGTACATCTGTAGCTGAAACAACACAAAATGTGAGTGCAAAACACATCAGGTGCCTGAAATGGTGGGAGCTTCAGCCCTCTGAACCAATGCTAAACCTTCTTACTTGTCCCATGCACTTGTGCTTCAGAAGGACTCTCCTCGCATCCATTACAAAGTAATTTTCCTTTGTATGTTTGAAATGGTGAAACAATCCTGTGGAATGAAGTGACATAAAGACTGTGCTAGAAGTGGTAGCAGAGCTCAGACTGACCTAGAAGAAGCCAGAGTATCATGAATATTATTTAGAACATCTCTGGTACGACTCCCGGCTCATAGAAGGCCCAACTTTGCATCTAGTTATAAAGTCAGATCATGTTGCTCAGAGAACAGTATAATTTGGATAACGTATCAAACACTGGCTGGCAGAGCCCTGCTGCTCTCAGTTGGCATTCAAGTTTAACTTGCAGACATAAGTCTTTCCCTCCCCTCTCCCTTAATCCTTTGATGGCTTCTTGAGGTTTTTATTTTAGGAGGATTTAGGTGGTGATAAAGATGAGGGTGATGAGATGCTAACAAAGGAGAGGGTGTCCCTGTTCTCCAGCTGGGCAGGGAAGAGCCTGGGACAGAACTTGTACTAGCTCCCCCCTGTCCTGCAGAACGGGCTGCTTGGGGTGCTGAAGTGCTGTTGCCTTATCTCAAATGCCAAGGACCATCTTATCACAGCCATGAAACGGAGGAGGAAGGTTTGTAGGAAATGGAGACTGGATGGGGGGAGGCCACAAACTTTCAAATTTGAGTGCTTCTTTCCACACAGCCCTTATTACTGTGTATTTTTATGTGGTTTTGTAGCTAATTTCCCCATGCTTTGCTTGTGGTTTTTTGTGGTTTTTTTTGTTGTGTTTGTTTGTTTGTTTTTTTTTTTTTAGTTTTGGTTTGGTTTTTTTCAATTTAAAAGAAGCTAGAAGCTTACAATTGATGTCATTATTTCCTCCCCTTTTACATTTGCCTTCCCCTCTGTTTTCCCACTTCTGAAATATAAACAAGAGGAAGAAAAATCTGCAACCTGTGCAAGTTGCGGTGCAGCTGCTGCTGATGCCAAGACCTGGCAGCGCAGGAGGTGGCCCTTGAAGTTCACACTGTGTGTAGGCAGTGAGCCTGCATGTGCATGTGCACACCAATGTGCATGCAGAGCTTGTCATGAATTTGCTGTGAAAGTCAAGCTTTTTATCACCTCCAGCTTTTTTTCACAGCAAGATCTCTTGCTAACAGCCAAACACAGAGCATAGACTGTGTGTTTAAGCCAGTTTGTACTGAGGAAACCAGAGTAGAAGAGAGAGGGCAACCTGGTGATCCAGAGTCTATTTAAAAAAAAAACCCAAGAACAAAACCAGCATTACACGCCATCATCAGCATAGGAGGCTGCAAAAATTCAGCCTTCAGGTTGCTTATGTACATCCTAGTTACACTATTGCATCCTCCCTCGCAGGTGGTAATGGCTGTACCCCCTTGTAACACTGCTCAGGGATTAAAGTGTTGACCTCCGAAGGAGAGACTCAGTTCCATGTCCCTCCTCAACGCAAGGATGTCCAAACTTGTGTATCTTCCTGGCTGATAGTCCAGCTACCTTAATGACCCCCATGTTTTCTTGCAGGTGGGAGCTGAGAGACCCAGGCCATGTGTCTGAGAGGAGCAGATGTTCTGCAAGTGGCTTTGAGTATGGTGTGGAGTGACAAGCTTTCCTATCTCACGTCTCTGATCTATGTTGAGACTGGGTATACAGCCAGTCCTGGGCAACCTGGCAGTGTTTTTTCACCTGCCAGCCCAGAATCCACTTGTAGGTCCTGAGACTATTGTCTACGGGATGGTATTTTCCCACTGCAACAAGGGTGGGATTCAAGAGTCGTGACCATGCAGCCTAGAGCTTGAAGGTATTTCTCAGGCAGCACATCTTATCCAGTGCTCAGCTCCTGGGTAAGACTTTCCAAAGCATCTGTTTGTCCTCTTGTTCTGAACAGGGACTCTGCCTGGGGGTTAAGGTGATGGGACCCACAGGTGATTCAAGGACCTGCAGGACCTCCCTGAAGTCAGAAAGGAAGCCTGCGGCAGAGGAGGGCCTTGCTTTGGGCTTTGCCCATGAGGCCAGCTGTCCTCTGCCTCAGGGATGCCATGCTTTTTCCTGCACCATCGATACCAATAGCTTATAGGAACCAGCTTTTCCCTGAGCTCACCTAGCAACTAAGCCAGGCTACCAGGCTGAGAGTAGGTCACTGACTTGGGCTCTTCTGGCTGCTCTCCAGGACCTTGCTTGAATCTACACTTTTATGCCTCTTGGAAAGTCAGATGTGGCAGTGGTGGGGGTGCTGACAGAAGATACTGTCCCTTGTAGTAGGAGGAGACAACCGCAGGCTTTTTCAATCTTAGCACAAGGTCCCTTTGCTGCTTAATAGCCCTCACACCTCTTGAGTCATGGTGATGTTTGGTTTTTTCTAGGCATGGGATGGCAGGATGAGTGAGGCTGGCTGAAGTCACACTGTGTGTATGGGAAGAAAACTATGAAATGTGTTACTCAAAGCAAGAGTCAGAGTCCAAAGTGCCCTTGTTCCTGACTCCCGTGCCTGGTAGTCCCAGCAGTGTCACATGTGGCAAGGCCTCTGAAATGCAACATCTGGAGAGGTGGGCTCACAGTCTAGCAAGCTGGACCATGTCTTGTAGACAGGTAGCAGGCTGGTAATACACCGTCTGTTGTAAGCAGGTGGTAGGCTGGTATATTTTTGTCCCAGCTTTCACCAAGAGGTACCAGGCATTTCACCTCCTTTGCCTATTGCCACTTGGTGTTGAGAATGACTCATACCAGAGCAAAGTGGGTATCAAGTCTACTGAGCCCTTGTGGGAGAACTTCACCCCCCTATTTTCCTCTAGTGACCCAGATTCCTCCAGGCTAGGATTTATTTTTCTTTATGTGCTTTGATTCTTGTTCAAGGTGGTCACTGCATGGAACACACACTGGTCTGAAATCACTTTTACTGTTTGGAATAGTTTACACCACTATTTCCAAAACCCAGAAGCTCTCTGGTGTGAGAGGCACCTGTAGTTCTGATTTTCTTCACCGCAGCCTTTCCTGATGGCTCCTTCCCTAGCTTGGCCCTTGAGAGTCATTACCTTAAAGAGTTGAATGTGTGTAAGGTGATGGCCCTGCTCCAGGCACAAAGCAGAATGGCCTGGAGGGTCCAACAAGAGTGCAGGTCTCTGGGCATACCAGTATCTGACAAGGCTTGTTGTCCAGGCCTGAGTGTGAGCAGAGATGCTCCATTACTTGGCTAGATACCTACAATACTCAGATGCCCAGAGGGATGTGATCTCATGACCTGGGAAAACTGCTCTTACTGCTCTACAGGGAGATGCCAAAGCATGCCATGCCAGGCCAGAGCATTTGTATTTCAGACTCCATCATTGCTTCTGGGTTTGGAAATGTAAAGAGAGAGGGGAAAAAAAATCTGTCCCTTCTCCTTCTGTTGGACAGTCGTAGGGTAGACTCTTTTCTTGCTCTGACTTAACAGGCAACTGTCTGTTATTAAGCAAGAGAGGGCTGCTCTTGCAGAGAAGAGTTGTATGTTGTATTAAAAGGCTCTCTCTTGTGCTTTCCTCATTGAGGAATAATTTGGGGGCCCTGTTCCTGCAGTATGAGAGCGCAATCCTATGGATGCTCTCTCCCAGCCTGCAGTGATGCAAATAGGCAGATTGTAACAGGTTGCTTTTTTTTTTTTTTTTTTTTTTCTCTCTCCATGAGATGCTTTCAAAACCTCCTCCCCAGTACAAGGAGCAAGACTAGACTTTATCTTTACATTTAAGACGCAGCAGAGTTCCTGCATGCCTCTGCAACCCCCAAAGGAAACCGCAGCTGAAACAAAAAGCTACTGGCTAACCAAACACCATCCCCAAGTGCGTTAGTACTTTCTGTGTATGGGAACCAAAGTAAAACTGAAGTACAACTAAAGCCTTCAGAGAGAAAAAGCTCCTGTCTGCAGCTCCCATTCTAAAGATTTAAGGCCAGCTGCAATCAAGAGAGTTTCCTTGCTCAGCAAAGAAAGAAACGATACGGAGTAATGTTTCATTAAAGTCAGCTAATCGGCACTCAAGTGCCCGTCTGTACTTAGCAGTCAAATTGTCACCCACAGTCTTTAGATTTAATAATCAAGGTCATACAGAGTTTAAACGCTGACAAATAAGTTAAAACTAGAAGTTGACTTTAACATCCTTAGATTATGTCCCTGGATAACATGGTTCTCTACAAGGGGAGAAAGTCTTTTAAGCAGTTGGATTTTCAGCTGCAGTCTGAACCCTGCAGTGCTGAGCCAGCACGGGCAGCAGTTGGAGAAGGGCTGTTATTTAGAAAGCAGCACTCACAGGACCTAAAGCACAAGAAGAACAGAAATTATTTCCCACTCTAGCCGTGCTGAACCCCCAGAGTGCTAAGCAGCAAAGCATGGCAAAGCCGCAGGAGAAGTTCACTGCCATCGCCACCGCTTCAGAAGAGGAGCCTGCCAGCGAGAAGAGCGACCGCCCTGCTTCCTGCAAGGGAAGATGTGCTTCTTTGTGTGCTCTTATTGGCTGCCAGGAGAGAAAAAAAATTACTTTAAACCCCTCTGAATCATCACAGCTCTGATGCAGACTTTGTCTACTGCTGATGACCACATACTTCGAAGCCCAGCCACAAAGCTCTGGCTTGGTGATAGCAGCAGCAGTCTTGCATCAGGGACTTTTGCTTCGTGATCCTCAGGGGTTGTGCAGAAGCATGGGCAGATACGTGAGGTGTAACACTGGGAAGTTGTGGGGGGCTGAGGAGAGTAACAGTCATCTGCTTTAAGATTCATGGGAAATTTAATCCCTAAGAACTGGGCAGGGAGTCCTGAGGATGTAGTTCGTGACTTGTGTATGGGTGTCTGTGTAGGGAGAAGCCTGAGAGCGAAGATGGGCCTGGTGTCTTGCTACCCCTGACGTGGAGATGTGGGGTTTGGGTGAGGGAAACAAGGAAGTTTCAGGGGTACCTACCCGAGGGGGCTGTGTGGAGGAGAGCCAGTAGGAAGAGGATTTTGGTTTTGGTGGCAGAGGAGCCCCACATTTACAAAAGGTGTTTTGACAACAGGAAAGGGCTACGTTAGGCTCAGAGCAGGTGAGATTTTCTCTAGATGCTCTTCAGAGAGTAAGAGAAACACGGGGAGAGGGGTAGTTTGGAGCTCTGTGGCTTGCAGAGCTTTTCAGCTCTGGGGTTGGGTTCCCCCGGATCAGTGCTTGGTTTCCAGAGAGGTCATCTCCGGGCCGTGTTGGCCCACGCTGAGGAGCTTGGAAGTCTGGGGAAAGGGCTTGGTTGTCAGACCTTGTGATGCACCTGAAATAACCAGCTGCCAGATTCAGGAAACTGGGAGACAAACTGATGTCTCGCTGAAGGGCTGAGAGTGGTGGGCCTCAGTCTGTGTACGTGCATTTGTTTCAGGTGAGCAGGAGGTTGATGGTTGCCTTTCACGTGCCCCAGCAATGAACTGTGCTCCTTTCTGAGCAAAGACATCTTCCTGCCTGAAAGAAAGTCCTAGTGCAGGGCAGTGTGGGTGGTGCATAAGGAGCTGGAGGAAAATAATTTTAGTGTTTCCTTGTAGGAAGGGATTAGGTAAACCCTCTGTTGAAATGTCCCACCAAGAAGGAATGGGGCAAGCATGGTGAATCACATTTATCACCAGTCCTACTTGCATAGAGCTTCTGAATGAGACTCCAAAGCCCGTGGAAAACATTGAGAGAATGAGAAGGTCTAGATTGGGGTTTTTTTGCACCCTCCCCCCCCCCCCCCTTTTTTTTTTTGAGCTCGCACAATGGCCTGTCCCTCAAATGAATCGGGTATCTTAAGTATCTTCAGCCCTCCCTTTCTCCTCAAGAATTGTGCCCTACAGTTCCTATCTCAGGGAGAGACTCTGGGGGAGTGTTTCTGTAAACCTATAGTCAAGTCCTCTAACATACAAGAAAGGGGCGGTTGGGACCCTTGTCACCAGATCCCAACACATCTCCTGTATGTTGCAAGAGCCTGTTTGTCACCATGCCACATGATGCACCACAAAGGGGTTCAGGCTTCCTACAGGACCTCCATTTCTTCTCTCTTTGCTTCTTGGTGAGCTCACAGCCTTTTGATTTGAGTCAAAAGGGACCCAGTGTGAGGAGTTTAGGGGGCATATTTCTGGAGCATGGATTCTTTCCTTACTTAAAACAAGCACCTTGGGACGCAGCCCTTTGTCAGAGTTTGGTGTGAGTGGGGACGGTGACTAATGAAGGCAGTGAGGGTGGTGAGATGCGCAGAGCTGGGTGGGAGGAAGGCTGTGGGTGCTGGAATTGCAAGGCCACCTTCCTGAGCTGGTAGCACTAGAGGGCACCAGGAGATAATTCACTGTACCAGAGCCCAAGCTTGCCTGGTCCAGGCACCCACAGAGCATCCCGAGCAGCCACTGCTGCATTACCTCTGGCCTGAGTGCTGGGGAGCTTGGGGTGCCCTTGTGTGGAACCCCTTCCTCTGCAGAGAAACCAAAGGCAAGTGCAAACCTCACGCCGAGCAGAGTTGTCCCAAGTGGAGTGGGGACAGACCCCAGGGGCAGTGGCCCTGTTTTGGCCTCACCCAAAACTAGGAATGCCTTGGGCTCTCTTCTTGCCTAGGAGGTTGTCTGTGGCTTTGACGGACCAGCTCTTAGGTGTCTGATGGTTGGTGTCCTTGGGCAGAGGTGAGCGTGCTCATGGTCTGATGCAAACCTGACTTGTCCTGCCTTCTGCTCTCCTGCTGCAGTGACATCTGCTCTAGAACCTGCTCTTTCCTGAAGAGCCCCATTTCATTGTTAACAGGGTTTATAAAGCCAGACCGTGACTTAAAGAAAGCAGCGTGTGTCTGTAGAGGGCACTTTTTCCCTGCTGCCTTCCCTTTCCACTTCTTTTCATGGAATCGCTCACTTACAGCTCATCCAGATCAACTTTTCCTTTTTCTGATGACTCTTTTATGATTCTGTTGAGGAAGTTTCTCTAGTTCTTTTCTCCTAGGAAGTAACACAGCACTCACTAATGAGCAGTAGTATTAACAGTGCTAGGTACTATTATGTAAAAAAACCCAAACAACACAACACTAAAAACCCTACCAAAAACCTCCCCCCTCCCAATAACTGGCAAACAATAGCAAACTCCTCCAAGCCCACAATATGCCATTACTTTATAATTTTTTATTTAGAAATTTTTGTGCCGTGGAGGAACCTGTAACTGGAGATTGGGACTGTTGTCCCTTTGCCATGTCTTACTCCAACCAGGTGCCATCTCCTGGGACACCGCTCTATGCCCCAAATCCATCTGCAGGAGGAGTGGAGCAGCGTGATGTCTTGTCTGACATCCAACCCCAGAAAATGAGTCGGATCCTCTTCTCGTTGAAGCTCTCTCAGGGTCACTGATGGGAATTTCACCCACTTTCCCTGGAAGGCATGTGTAGACCACCTCCTCCACAGCAGCACAGGGCATGCGGGGCACTCCGTGGGGTAGTTTCCACTATCTACATTTCCCACTGTGTGGCCATTCCTGTGTGAGCAGAGATGCTGAACAGGGAGAGGATGGGAGTAAATGGGCAAGGAAAGGCTCACTGATTATCCCAGGGTAAACAGAGTATTTGCTTTAAGCAAATAGCTAGCCCTGACCCAGTCTAAATCAAGATTATGATCTTTCTGCATTAAGCTGGGTTACATAGATCTTAAAAGACTTGCACGTGTGAAGAACCTTCGTGTTTGTTTTTGTGTGAGTTGGGGAAGTTTATCGCAAGTTGTGGGATACCAAGTCTGCCCTCTTTTCTGGAAGAGAATTTGCAGAGTCTGTTCATTCTCTCACTGTTGGCCTGGGTTACTGGAGACTTTGGAAACAGTGTGCAGCTGTGGGGATTTTGGGATGAAAATAAAAAAAACCTGCAACAACTTTTATTATCTATAAATCAAAGATATAATGATATCCTCCTTTTCTATTGAAGAAGCAAAAACCACAGTACCTGAGGTTTGATTTTCATGACGTTTGGTGCATGAGGTGGACTTCTTCAGCGTTACTTTTTGCTTCTGTCATTCAAGGCAGACCTTTGGCCACACAGCGCAGCCCAGCAGTTGCCACCATGGCTTCCTAGGACAATGCCAGTGGGGTCTGCAAGGGGTCATGTTGGAATGACACTCCTGTAAATGCAATGAGCATCTAGCCCTGCACCCACAATATTTCATTTTCAGTTCTGACTCCCTTTTTTGCACTTCACGGGGGACAGTAAGAAAAATTCCTCTCATTAACTTTTGCAGGGACTTGGAGGATGACTGGAGTGTGTTTGAATTGTGCTTTCAAAAGTTTTAATTAAGACACATTTACCAGTGTCAATAGTTGTGGGTTTTTTTTCTCCCTTTAATCTTTTTTACATTTTCCAGGCCTTCATCTGATCCCCAGGGCAGCTAATTTAGTTGGCTTTGCTTTAATGAAGAATCTGAGCAAGAGAATGCTTTTTTGGCTCTCAGCTGAAATAGAGAAATCACCACATTTCAGCTTTTGGTAGACTAATACACGGGAAAATTTGGGTTACTTTGGCAGAGTGGCAACAGCAGACTTTAAGCCTTAAAGGTGAAAGAGGTGGGCATGATGTCTTCTTCCACACTGGAGACCTGCACTTTGCAGATGCTGAAATATGTCAAGGTGCAGAGAAAGGACAATCCAAGGAAGAAGGACCAGGATAAAGAATTCAGGTGAGGACTCAGCTGCTCCTCTGCCTTCCTATAGCAGGAATACCTCGCCAGCCTGTCTTTTGTAAGTGGAAAACCACGCAGCTCAGATAGCAGCGGCTTTCCAGTACAGGGTCACCTGGACAAGCCACAGGATACTGATGCCCTTCTGAGCAGTCATGTGGCTGAACGAGTTTGATGAGGTACAAGGGAAGGAGGAAAATGGTTCAGAGCACATGTCCCTACATGCAATTAAGTCAGCAGTGGTGGCCACAGTCAAGATTATGGGTCTGTGTACTTGGTAGCAATAGGATGTAGAGGAGAAATTGGGGTTTGACACTGGTGGGTTGGCCTCACCCAGGGAGTTTGTCTCCTTATGCTCACCAACACCCCACCTGTGCCTCTGCTGCAGAAGTAGCTGTGATTTTTCATGCAAGTCATTTTTCATTCAACTCATGCAGCTGCATCTGTTTTTCTACCAGCAATAACGTTTGAACTGATGAATTTCAATCAAATATGAAAGCAAGCTGGAAGACTTGAGGATAATCTGGTTACCATACGTTTGTAGAGAAGAGAGACCCAAAAGAATGGGTGGGCTGAGGCAGGGGTGAGGAGCACAACTGTGGCATTATTTAGTCTATCTGCCAGCGGCACTGTCAGCTGGCATGCAGAGATTGCCTACAGATTGCACTGTGGGGTATTTAGAAGGGATGGGTGTATGTAAAGACCCCTTCATATTTTACCTTGAGGTTGTTCTATTAATTTTGGGATGAACAAACCTTCCATCCCCTCCTCCTCCATCTGAAGATTTGA